CATTTAACGCATTGGTGAGTTTGACTATGTCTGTATGCACTGCAGTGCTATTTTTAGTCTGTGACATCTGGAGTTAGTTGCAGTTTTCATTACGTCTGAAGTGCATACACTGTTATTTCATCATAAAACAAGAATTCACCACAATTGCTATAAACTCTACTGGCTCAGGCAAAACTACACCATCTATTAAGATAATGAAACATTGCTCTTATTAAAGGAAAGAGATAATTCCCTTTGAGGTCATACAACTCCGAAGTCAAAGCCGGCTTTTCTGACTCAGATGTATTAAGATGCCTTTGTAAGCGAAGTGCACTATGTCTTACTAGCGTGTTTGCTGAGTTTGAAATTCGAGAGGCAAAGTATATCGGTCATTAAAATGGTCGATGTATTAACCGATTCTCTAATTAGTGCACTAGCACAGCGTTGACCGTAACAAATATGTCGGACTTCGTACATATGTTTCCATCGTTGTTATTAGAAAAAGAGTATGCAAAAGTATGTCAAAAAGTCTACGTATGAACATAAGGAAAGTATAGTTTGCATGAACTGCAGCGTTAAGCTGATGCCAAATGGATAATTCGAACTGAAATTTTTTGCTCATTTAAAAACTACAGATATGTTTGAAGAATGCACGACAACTATCCAATCAGGGTTATGGCATCCGGTGGGTGGGCTCAGGTATTCATGTTTGTTTAACACAAGATAAGTGACGCTGTAATTATCCAGCAATCCGAGTTTGCATGAAAGGGAAATTATTTTAATGCAGTTAACAGCTTGAATCTGAAAAAGATAACGTAGAATTCACTTTATTTATGCACGGAATATTTACTTCTAAACTAAAAGAAATTCGGGACAACAGCAAGACATTAAATACGTAGGATTGTAGTAGCGCAGATATGCTGTTCGAATATTTCTCCAAGTCTTGCACTTAAAATAGCAACTAGGCCGTTCTCTTTCCCAGTAAGTTCGTTTTCGATTTATTTTGCTAGGGTTACAAGGAAAATGTAGTTCACGATACTGTGCTAGACCAAGGACCTCCCTTATCTATGCTTATCTAAAGATAGCACTAAACACGGTTTATTCACTCGCAATGTAAAAAAATGGTAAGTCGGACGAGTGACCAGTAATCACGTTTTCTATCGTGCCTATAGGACATTCTTCAATATGTGGGAGTCGGGGTGACTGGTGGCGGAATTTATTCTTTTGCTCACAGCGACGGATATATGTGGAGTTAGAGAGCAAGATTTGATCAGCGCTGCTGGCTGGCTAAAGAGTTCTTTGGCGACAGGCATGACAGAGTTCATCCAATCAGGGCAGAACTGGCATCGATTCTCACAGTTTTCTATTCTGCAAGATTATGTGACTAATGTCTCTGACGCATCTATTCAGCTATTTTTCACAGATATAATGGTACACTTTGACCATAAAAGAGGGGTGTTCTTGCTCTGTGCATACTACACAATCTCGAAGGCCTTTTCACTGGGTATTGTATCTATACTGGAGGTGACTCTTTGTTTCCTTCCTGACAGTTTCGTGACCACGGGGTTTTATGATCGTTCACGATCAACTATTATCTCCAGCTTGACAAGCAGATTTTTGCTTTCTCTAATTCAACTTTCCATGCTTCTTCCGCGTGATGTTTTCATCTGATACATGGCAATTTGTGACCCAAATTTAGGGAGTTGC